TCCCTCCCCCACTGACCAATCAGCATCCGGTACTTGTGGGGGTGCCGGGCATCCTCGATGACGGGGATGACGTTGGTGCGTTTCTTGGCGACGTTGATGAGATCACGGCCCGAGCGGTGGGAGAATTCCACGGCGTAAACCAGGCCCTCCTGGGGGTGGGGCCAGTGAGGTCACCCCAGGGTCCCCAAGGGGGGGAGGGGACATGGGGCCACCACCCATGGGGATGTCCCCAAGGTGGAGAACATCTCCAGGGACATGGTGCCACCACCCATGATCCCCATGGTTCCCCGACGTTGATGAGATCACGGCCCGAGCGGTGGGAGAATTCCACGGCGTAAACCAGGCCCTCCTGGGGGTGGGGCCAGTGAGGTCACCCCAGGGTCCCCAAGGGGGGGAGGGGACATGGGGCCACCACCCATGGGGATGTCCCCAAGGTGGAGAACATCTCCAGGGACATGGTGCCACCACCCATGATCCCCATGGTTCCCCAGTTCTTGAGGTCCTCAAGGTGGGGACATCAGGGATGTGGAGCCACCAACCATGGGGACATCCCTAAGGTGAGGGACATCTCTGGGGACGTGGAGCCACCACCCATGGGGACATCCCTGAGGTCCTCAAGGTGAGGGATATCTCCAAGGACACAGGACCACCACCCATGGGGACATTCTTGAGGTCCCCAAGGGGGGAGGGGACATCTCCAGGGACATGGGGCCACCACCCATGGGGATGTCCCCAAGGTGAGGGACATCTCCAGGGTCATGGGACCACCACCCCTGGGGATGTCCCCAAGATTCCCAAGGGGAGGGGACATCTCCAGGGACATGGGGCCACCCCCCAGTAATGTCCCAAAGGGGTTACAGGACCACCCCCACATCCCCTCACTCCATGTCAACATCCCCAAGGGACCTCCAGGATGTCCCCAGGTAGGGGGAGATGCCACCTCCAAGCTGTCCCATGGCCTGGATGAACTCATCCCTGCATCCCCTCGCCCCAGGACCTCCTGGCGATGTCCCCATGGGGTCACAGGGCCACCCCCATGTCCCCTCACTCCATCTCAACATCCCCAAGGGACCTCCAGGATGTCCCCAGGTAGGGGGAGATGCCACCTCCAAGCTGTCCCATGGCCTGGATGAACTCATCCCTGCATCCCCTCGCCCCAGGACCTCCTGGCGATGTCCCCATGGGGTCACAGGGCCACCCCCATGTCCCATTCCCCCTGGTGATTGTCCCCAAAGCACCTCCAGGATGTGCCCAAGTAGGGGGAAGTGCCACCTCCAAGCTCTCCCATGGCCTTGATGACCTCACCCGTGTCCCCTTGCCCCAGGACCTCCTGGTGATGTCCCCAAGGGGTCACAGGGCCACCCCCATGTCCCATTCCCCCTGGTGATTGTCCCCAAAGCACCTCCAGGATGTGCCCAAGTAGGGGGAAGTGCCACCTCCAAGCTCTCCCATGGCCTTGATGACCTCATTCCCGCGTCCCCTCATCCCATCCCCTCCCCCCCAAAGATGTCCCCATGGGGGCGTGACCCCGTGACCTCACCGGCCCCACGATGTCGGAGACGTGGGACACCGTTGTCCCCGAGGCGGCGCCCAGGTACAGGACCTTGGCCCCGGGCCGGATATGGATCTGGTCAATGCCACCCAAGATGGCGGCTGCCAGCTTGGAGCGGAAGGGGTTCCAGGCACGGTACTCCACCTTGGTGTCACCATCCTGGGGACAGGGACAGGCACAGGGGTGTCACCCACCGGGTGGGATACCCCATGGGCACCTACAGCCGCCCAGTGCCACCTCCCAGTGCTCCCAGTATGGAGAATGAGAAGGTTCTGGTGATGCCCTCAAGCTTGGTGGCACCTTCATGGGGTTGGGGTGTCACTGTCTTGGGGACAGGGACACATGGGATGGTGTCACCCAGCTGCAGGAACAGCCTATGGACACCTACAGCCTCCCAGTGCCACCAGTGCCACCTCCCAGTGCTCCCAGTATGGAGCCTGAGAAGGTTCTGGTGATGCCCTCAAGCCTGGTGGCATTTTCACGGGGTCAGGGTGTCACCGTCATGGGGACAGGGACACCTGGGGAGGCCTCACCCACCCGCAGGGACACCCCATGGACACCTACAGCCTCCCAGTGCCACCTCCCAGTGCTCCCAGTATGGAGCCTGAGAAGGTCCTGGTGGGCTACACCACCTCTCCCAGTTGCCCCCAACCCCCTCCCAGTCCCTCCCAGTTACCCCTCCTCCCCTTCTCAATTACTGTAGCC